AATTGCGTTAAGAAAGCTTTTATTGATTTTTGCTAAGTGTTTCTACGTAGAGCTGAGGATCCCCTTTACAAAGCAGTTACAAGAGTATTTATACAAGTTCTAGTCGGCTAGGTTTTACAAATAGAAGATAAGGAAAGTTTTCTTGTTTCTCAGGATTTCCTTTTATCGTAGTCGGCGCTCGCCATGGGCTTTGTAGTGGGCTTTGTCTCGCCATCTCGCCATCTCGCCATCTTGGACTCATAAGCATCGGCCCAACTTGTTGCGGAACTTGTTGGGTTCTCAGAGACAGAGTAGTCGGCAGTCGCCAAGTTCTCCGAGATGGCGTGGCCAACAGAGACAATAGTTGGCAGTCGCCAAGTTCTCCGAGATGGCGTGGCCGGCAGAGATAGTAGTCGGCAGGAAGCAGCAGTAGTCGGTGGAATGTACCAGTGTTAAGCGAAATGAGTTATTCTGGCAAGTTGTCCAGGTCTTTAGAGTGAACTAGGCACCTTTCCATTTCTGCTTATTTCTATACTTAGCCATTTTATGGAAGAAAACTGTCGGAGGGAGTTTTGACCCCAACAGTTAGCCCCAGCTTGGTAGTGTCCGTTAGGAGAGTGCCGAGCTTGAAAACAACTGAAGACGAGATCGATGCTACCAGACTTAGCTTCGTGTTAAAATGGCGCCAAGTCAAGATGTTATCATTCCCGGTTGTTCCGCCGACTATGTTCAATGAAACAAATATGTAGAGTAAGAAAACACAAATCTATTAAACGGTTTTCTCGAAAAGACGTAACTTATGATATATTGGTACCTATAAAATACTTTTTCTTTAACTCATAGATAATATCAATTCTTTAAAAAAATTCAGTAGTCATTGACATGTTTTACCATTTTTATAGTGTAATTATATTTTTTTTCTAATGAAAACTAGTTAAACATTAAGCAGCACTGATGATAGCAACTCATTTATATTTGGAATAAGTGTAGAAACTCTTTAAAAACTTGCTACATCCATTGACAGCAACACACCACATGGTACATTAGAAATGTGCAGCTTGACGTTTTTGCACTCTAACACCACCCAAGCCCAAGCCTCCTTCGCCTGCACCAAATCTCATAAAAACTTGAAGCGGTAACCATGACTTCCTTTCTCTTTTCATATTTGACATCTCAAATCTCCCTAACATCACCGTCAATGGTGAATATGCCTACGAAGTTTATCAAATGCATGATGGGAGACAATTTTTTTCCCGGAGTTAGTCCCACAATCAAAAACCACTAATGATTTAGTTCAAACCTTCTTTTAAAAGTTTCAAAAAAAAACCTTTTCTTTTGATATGGCAAATAAAAAAGGTTTATCCTAAGCTTTGTTTATAACAAAATAAATCAACGATTATGTAAAAGTGATTGAGATTCTTACAGTTTCATCCAAAAGAAGAAGATCAAAACTCAAGAACTTGCTCCCTCTGCGTTCGTTGTGCGTTTCTCATTGACCAATCATATGAAAAATGCATTCTAGTTTTGTCTGATATTTTTTTAAGAATTTATAGGCGAAACAATTTTTTTTTTTTTGAATAGACGCAACTCTTAAAAAATAACCATAAAGCGGTTATTTTGAAAAAACATAACTTTTGGCAAAACAGCTATACTAAAAAGATGCAACTCTTGACAAAAAATAACCATAAAGCAGTTATTTAGAAAAGACGTAACTCTTGACAAAACAGTTATATCGAAAAATGCAACTTTTATAGATTACCACAAAATAGTATTTTACGAAAAGACACAACCCATAAATATTCACTTTTTAGGATTGCTATTATAAATTTTTCCATAAAATTTGTATCGTCTAAGAAATCCAAAATTCTTTACACAAATCAAGAATTTTTAGAACTTGTGTAATAGTAAAACGATCAATATTTGTGATAATTTTAATTAATATAATAGAATGATTTTTTTTAATCTTTGTTATGCTTAAAGTGAATTATAGTTGCAATAGCCATGACTAATAAAATGTTCAATGAGATAAAAAGTTTAAACAAATATATAGGCGAAACGGAATTTTTTCCGAAGAGACATAACCCTTAAAAATAACCATAAAGCGGTTTTTTTGAAATGACACAACTATTGACTAAACGGTTATATTAAAAAACGTAACTCTTGGAAAAAAAACCATAAAACGGTTATATCGAAAAGATGCAACTTTTAAAAATAACCACCAAACAATTTTTTACGAAAAAACACAACCCAAAAATATTCATTTATTTTAGGATTGCTATCTTATATAATACTTTAAGGTTTTTCAAAACCAAATCTATGAGAGGCTGCCATGGTAATTACAATTTTTTTCTCTAATTCATTTATTGAAAAAAAAAAAAATTAAATGTCTTTTAGTTACTTTAACAATTAATTTTAACATAATAGCTAATTTTTATGTAAATTAATTCAAATCAATTACAATTAAGTGTTTTGTGTATATTTATATAATTCTTATGTGAATTACTATATTTTATTGTAAATTTAGTATATAAAATATATATTTTATTTATCAAATGCAACAATATTTTATACAATTTGTTTGTTTGACTTTTATATAGAAAACTGGGAGCAATT